CTGTGTGTGGTCCTCACAAAGATAGGAAGACGCGTGTGTGTCTGTGTGATTACACGCGCGATGAAAACTCTGCTTTTTTTGTAGCACCGATGCGAAAGATTTCAACAATAATGTCGGGTGATGAGTCTGACTTTTTTCTTTTTTTTCACATTGGACTCCACCGGGAAGAAATTCCGTGCATACTGCTGCTTAAATGTTTGCTACGTCACAACTTCTACGGCAAATGTGTTTCCATCTCTGCTTTTGTGCATTAACTACTTTGCGAATCATCCAAAAACCACCTCAAGCCAGCGTTAAAACATTTAAGCGAATTGAGGATATTTTTTTTTCGAATTTTGCTGTTTCCATCTGACTTTTTTTCGCGTTTTTAATGCGACACTTCTAAATGCGCATCAAAAAGCCTTGATGGAAACACAGTTATAGAGGCATGGGGAAAAAAAACTTGTGTGGCTGTCACTCAGAGCAGCAGGAGAGGAGTCACATTATATATTTTCCTTTTTTTTATGTTGACAACATCAAAATATGGTCAATWATGTCTTCTAGGGTTTCAAGTTTCAAACTAGTCTTATTCAGCATGGTTGTATCTGCGCTGCTGCATACTTTTAGCCAGTTATTGTTCCGATAAAGTTTGTAGTTTGCTTGTCTTCTGAAAGAGCCTTGAATGTTTATGTCCCAGTTTTCATAGCAGYCAGTTGCCTCATGTGCCTCMCATTTTTATATACTGTCACCAGGTTTTTAGGTATGAGTTCGGAGGAGAGCGTCAACACTTTAAGCCACACCCCCAACTTCCCGCACCTACAAAATTTGCATAGATGAAAAGAGTTGCAAACAGACCGGAGATAATGTTACAACTCGTCTATCCAAGCTGGTTCAGTTTATTCTTTGTGGCTTCATAAATTAATAGTGGTCAGCCCCTTAGCTGCTTAAGAAGCTTTCAAAATTTATGGAGGGGGGAAAGTTAGGGGCGGACTGAGAACGGAGGTTGAAAACATGCCGAAAACATCACATTGAAGCTGTTTATTACAGCTGAAGACTTAGATCAGTAAATAAGATTTCTGAAAGAAAATATTGTTTAGCGTGTTTGTTTACCATTTTATGTACTTGAATCACATCGAAAATGTACCAATGCATGGAAGTTGAATGTGAAAAAGTTCATACAACCCACACAGAGAGCAGCTCAGTCTGGAGGCAGTTTATTGGTCTGCATTCAGGTCCTGTATTTCCAGAAGTCACTTCAATACAACAGGTTTTTCAGGACATGACTCCGCCTATTTTATTATGTCATCAGGAAGTGGTCCCTAACACACTGCTGAACCATGTCCCCACACAATATAATCTGACCTAATGAAGATTAAAGGTTCAGTTATGTGTTGAATCTGTGATCAGGCATGTATCTACATAAAATCATCAATTTAAGCAAAAATAATCACATTTCACAGATATTACAG